ATGACGCGACCGAGCGAGGGAAGGAGGGGGAGTGTTACTGGCACTCCTCCTCCTCCTCCTCCTCCTCCGCCATACACGACCTTCCCAGCTCCCACCTTAGCGAGGTGGCCGGTGTCCTTGGCGGTGTCCTCAGCCGCGTGCTTGCCGCTGGTGAACCAGCCCTGACGTCGGGGCGGGGGGAAAGACGAACCACCCCGTCGGAACCGGGGGGGGGGGGAGAGGGGGTAGGCAGGTAGGTAGGCAGGTAGCGGTGAACGGAACGTGCAAGATGTGGGGAAGTAAACCCCGGGCCCGGGCCCACCTACCGGGCCCACCTACCCGCTACCACCCACCTTGCCCGTGTGGGTCACGTCCTTCGCCGTATCCTCCGCTCCGTACTTGATGTCCTTGGCGGTGCTCTGAATGTGGTGGTATCAATGTATGTATGTATGTACGGGCAGGTGTGTATTACGTATGCAGTGAGCCTCAAGCAAGGCGGGATGGGAGGGGGAAACACACACAGGCCTCCAACACGCGGAGATGGCTGTCAAGACCAGATCACTTCACTTCACCTTCCGGACAGTAGTGCAGTCCCCTGTATAACCCGAACACGACCGATCAAGCCGGTCACCACCAGCACATCCTAGATGGTACCCCCCGACTCCGAAACCACCCTATACCAGCAGCCCCCGAGGTGGCCAAATCGAATTGTGTGGGGGGGGAGCTGTGGGGGTTATGTCGTCTTCTTACACACCGTGTAACCCCCGGGGGGGGCTGATGCCCCTTTCCCTCCTAATTGGGGGGAGCTGACGCCGGCCCGCTACAAAACCATGCATACATACATGCGTACATACATATACTTCTCCCCCTTCTCCCCCTCATCCTCCCCCTCCTCCGTACGCACCTTGACCGCGTGCTTGGCGTCCTTGGCCGCGTCGCTGACAGCGTACTGCACATCCTTGGCGGCACTCTCCGCCTCGTGGACTGTATACACACCCCCATCATATGATGGGGACCAGGATGGGGCCCCCAATGCGGCCAGGGTGGTGGGACGTATGTGAGCGCTGCTGGACGCGGAATCGC